TGGCATGGATTAATGGTACCGAAGGCATGTTCAACTAATATATATGAAACACAAAACTCTATCAACCATAACGAGATCATAGCAAAGTTTGAACGTGAAAATGATCTGATGCAACGTAGACTTGATCGTTTGCATGCAATCGACCATGCAAAAATTGAGCATTTTGATCCTGATTATGCTAAAATTTAAATTTTGCAGGATCCGTTACTTGTTTTAGATGCAGAACTTTCTGATTATTCTGATTTAAGTGATGATACGTCTGACACTTTTATTCCATCGAGTTTATGTGTATTCAGCAACCCTCTATGTTGTTTTTTACATCAATAAAATATTGACAGACTGTATTTCTTACAGTATCATGTAAAAAAATTGTTTTGTTTTAATGTATAAGTATCTTTTTTCATATTTTAAAGTTTTGCACACTTTTGTAGGGTGGTGGTGGTAGTGACAGTGCGGTAGTGGTGGGGTGATGGTGGGGTAGTGGTGACGGTCGGGTAGTGATGGTGGTAACGGCGGCGGTGGTGGTAAGGGTGATGATGGGATGACAACGATGGTGGTGGTTGTAGGAATAATGGTGGTGGTGGAGCGGTGGTGATTTATGTGGCAAAGGCAGTGGTGGTGGTGGTGGTAGAAGGAGGTTGTAACGATGGTGGTGGCGGCGTCGACGGTGGTGGTGGTGGTGGTGGTTATTGTGGCAGAGGTGGTGGTTAAATTATGCTTTTATGAAATTTATTTTCAATTAAAAATAAGTACAAAATTATTATGAAAATGAAATTAAATTCTACAATTGATTCACTTTAAATTACAAGTTGGTTGGAGACATCAAGACATAAAAACGTCATTGCAAATGACGTTTTTACCTCCAATTTTTTAACACCCGTTTAGTTGTCGTCTGAAAATTCATTTTAGAAAACGTCATTAAAAATGACGATTTAAAAAACATAATTTTGAATGATGTATTTAATAAAAAAAATTCAGTTTAAAAACGTCATTTGAAATGACGTTTTTGAACAAAAACTGAGTTTAAGAAATAAGTTTAAAAATGACTGAATTGAAGAATTAAGATTTCAGAGGACTGGATTTGAGGAAAACCTCGCTCATCTATGTACTTAACTAATTCTATATTCTGCACTCAATTCAAATTACTTCATTAGTCTATATAAGGCTAACCATTGTAACATATACAAGTGAGAAAATATATTAAATTTCAATTCTTTTAGTGGCCAAAAAAAAAAAAAATCACGTCAGCCCCTTCTATCTTTTTCCCAAAATATTAATATTGAAAATGTTACTATTTTTTTGATGAGCATGTTATTGTTAATATTGAACGTTATTATTTTTCTGAAATATCAATATTCAATGTTACTTATTTTTTTGTTGACGATGTTATTACTGTTATTTTTTTTCAAATATTAATATTTAATGTTACTATTTTTATTTTTGAATATTACTATTTTTTTATATTTAAGTGGTAATATTTTTTGTTTGAATGTTACTATTTTTTGTTTTTAATGTATATATATATAGAGAGAGAGAGAGAGAGAGAGAGAGATAAATAGTCTTATTCTATATATGGATATAAATAGATATGAGAGAGATAATTTTAATGTTATTCAAACTCTTAAAATTTAGGAGTTGTTAGCTTTCAAATTTATTTTAATTAAATATAACTAGTGAGTATATTTTTGGTAATGGAGATCAAAATAGACTAAATATTAAATAAGTTTCTTTAATGGACTTATCTCCAAATAAGCCTACAAAGAAAGATCAGTCTCCAAATTTTTCAAATAATAATAACATAATATCCGAGGCACTGCTAAAACCTTCATTATTTTTTTGATTCAATAATTTATGTAGATGTCCTTTTGTCATGATTAAAGGGAGCAACCGATGTTACTGGTGGATCAATAAAAATGTTAAACATTTGTTGCTGTTTATCAGACAGTATCTTAAAGTCAAATATCTCCATGTTTGTTATGCATAGAACTATTCTAAACTTTGTACCTTCAACTTTGTTGATTGATACATCAATATATATTTATATAAATCAATACTCTTACTTTTTGTCACTATCACTTAAGACATTTTTTATTATAGGTGGCATTCATATAAGGGGTGTGAATATTGGTTAATTTTATATATTTTTATCTAGTCTTGTATTTTGCTAGGTGAGCTATCTATCCGAAGATTTATTACATTTTGACATTCTTGCCGTCCTAAATTTAAAAGTGAAAATATCTTGAGACATTTGCGGCCCCTCTCTCTCTCTCTCACTGTGAATTAAAAAAATGAAATATACCAGGCCATCGACCATAATTTAGATCTCTCTCTTGAGTTCAATCTATCTTAATTGATTCTATTAAACACAAGATTACAAATAAACAGCAAAATGAAACACAAAACCAAAATGTACACAAAATTACGTGGTTCAGTTCGAAAACTTATGTCCTTGCGTACAACGAACAACTTTACAATAAACAAGGAAGTCTAAAAAAAAATCTCTATTTATATTTTGGCTTGAAATTAAAAATAAATTGAGTACATTGGGCATGATGCACTCATATGTCCCTCATCCGGGGGATGGTTGTACTTGTATCCTATGCGGAGCAACACCTGAATCACATCAACACTTGTTCTTTGAGTGTTCCTATTCATCTACTGAAGAAACCGAATTGAGTTTCATAAAAATTTTATATCTTTGTTTTCATAGATTGATTCTATATATACAGAAGATTACAACCAATTCTCCCCGTATCAAGGATCACAATCTAATCTACAAAAAAGCAATCTCTACCAAAAATTAGATAAAGAAAGAGAATTTGGATAAGGGAAATTTAATCCTTATCATCTACTACCTCGAGCTACATTCTACAAATGAGTGGGCAGCAGTGGCAGCCAAGACCTTGGGAGGAATTCATAGAATGTGCGTCATCCAATCGGAATGGTAAGGCTATGGGCAAGCTTATATGCAGAATCAGCTGATAAGCTACTGTGTATTATCTATGGAGGGAGAGGAATAACAAAAGGTTCAAAAATCTGTTTAGAGACTCTAGTTCATTGTCTAATACCATCCAGTAAAAAGTAAGGGGTAGAGTAGACTATCTCAAATTCAAAAATACCACTTTGCATAGCCAGTTGGTACAAAAATGACAACCACCAGAAGATTGTCTTTGTTGAGTCCAAGTAATTAGGTTAACTCCTATTGTAGCAGCCTGCCAACAGCGTTGCGAGATGAGGAGGTGCTACAATTTCATATGTTGCATCCCACATCAACTTAGGAGGGGAAGTGACTGGGCTCTTTATGTAGTGTGCTCACCCTTAATTGTCAAGAGTCATTCTCTAGGGAAAACCACCATAGGAACAAAACCGCCAGGATGTATGGGCACCCAAAGCGGACAATATCTTGACAGTTGGGACGAGTCGTTACACCTATAGCATTCTGACTTAAGCATGTATCAGGCTATGATTAGGAGGGATTCTGGTGGAAGTAGAAGTTTTGGCTCAAGGTAATACTTCCCTCAAAATTTTGCCAAATCAGACCCTGTACTGTGATTGTAAAGGACTTTCATAACTATATTTGCTCATATCATATTAATACGAGAAATAAAATTTATTTTACTTTCTTAAAAAAAATTCTCTAACGATCACAACAACAACTATTTCATTGTGGGACAAATATATGATCCATCAATACATCAGACTTGGTCTATAGTCCAACCTTTCACTATGCATTTTCAGTTGCGTCCTAAAAGTTTTTCGACATCTCGGATGCGCATCAGAGCGAGATCTTCCACTATACATATGTACCAACTTAGTTTAAAGATTATCCCAAATATTCTTTAAGTTTTGCTTTGAGTGGATAACCTTTACATTTGGAAATATATCGTAAAACAAAAAAAAAGCATATATATGACAAGGTGTTCTCTAGAATGAGCAAGGTTGCCAATAGAATGCAAGTGCCTGCTAATTATCTTTTTTTTAATATTTTTTAGTGGTTATAGCAAAGATGCATTTGGAAAAACTTAAATAAAGTAGTTATAGGACTTACCATTTGGTCTCATAGGTACTTTGACTGGAGTTGTGTGTATGAACTATGATTCCTATTCATCTTACCTAAAAAATAACCCAAGAACCCAATAGGAAAACAAATTTCTCAATCTAATGCTACAAGGTTACAAGGCATATCTGGCATAGTTTATTTTGTTCACATTTCGTTTCCTTCCTCATTTTCCTTTCAGGAAGAGGGGTCCGGTTTATAGTTAGAAGAAAGGAAAAGGCACTTTCCAAAAGCTGATAGAGTGGGCATGTATAATTTAATTAGTTCCCTTGAGAAAATTTAAATGGCTTGCATGAAAGTACCCAGAAAAATAAATGTATTGTCACTGACAGCTAAATGAACATTCATTCATTGTTTTCCTATTGTGGCTTGTGTATCTATAGTAGCAATTTTTAGTATACAAAAATCCAATACAAATTATTTTCAATCCAAGTTCATTTTGTTTGTATTAGATTCAACAAATTTTACACTAATTGTCAGTTTCATTATACAATCCTTATTTCATCGAGATATCATATATAAAGAAACATGAAATTAGGCAAAACTAGATTTGTCATGTAAATAAATCAATAAGTAGAATTCTCAAAATCTCAAAAGAAACTTCTACTTTCTTAAAAGCACTTCCACATAAAACATTTCTCATTTTCACAATTACCACCATTGTCGTCCCACCACCACCGAACGTAATCTTACTCTCACTTGTAGATCTACAATTCAAATCTGTGATGTGAAATCACGCTAGTACAACTTTATCACTGTGCTAAGCCTTGCCCTTAAATCTATAAAACATGATTCATCATGAATAATTCTACAAAGCTCCCTGAAACTAGGAACTTTTCATAGAGCTCTAGAAATATATTGATATGTATAGAAAGTCAATAAAGTTCAAAGAAAATAAATATAGGTGTGAAGCAATAAGAATTTAAGTGTCAAAATCTACCACTCAAGCCCATGATGAGGATGAGCTGCCAATTGCCCTATTACCATTTCCATCTCCAATTTGATGGATTTTGCCAATATCAAAAGCACCAGTCAAATTCTCACCATAGCCAATGGTCTTTCCTTGATCTCCATAGCCCTTAGGAGTCAGAGGAATCCCAAGTGTTGCATAATACCCATTTTTGAAACTCTGAAAATCTGCCGTTATTGAAATGGAATTTGTAACTTTGCTTATATGATCATTAACACCATGATTACTACTACTACTGTTAGTAGGTGAATGCGTCTCTTGTCTAGCCATGATGGTGTTCTTCTCTCCCTCAGTTTCCCTGTACTTGTTGAGATAAACTTTCAAAGGACTGACATAATTCTCAAACCCAAGAGTTGTCATAGCCCAAAGAAGATCGTCCCCATTGACAGTCTTCCTCTTCTCTCTTTGACACTTATCGGAGGCTTCACCGGTAATGAAGCTTATGAACTCGGAAACACACTCTTGGACAGTTTCCTTGGCTTCTTTTGAAATTTTCGCATTTGCCGGAAGGGACTTTTTCATGATACGACTCACGTTGGCAATCGGAAGGAAGCGGTCTTGGTCTTTAGAGGAGCCGTCGGAGATGTTGCCAGACAACGGGCTTCCGACCGGGCTGATTTGGGTTCTTCTTCCAGTCATGGGGAAGATAAGTGTAGAGAGAGAGAGAGAGAGAGAGAGAGCAAAGAAACAATTAGGAGAGATATTTGGATAGCTGCTTGTGAAATCTAATCAGACAGTGGGTTTTTATGCTTGGAGAGGGGGGGAGGGGGAAGAAGCAATAGAAAAGAGTGGAAAGCCGGTCTGATGTAGACTGAAAAGGAAAGAAAATATCACTTGCAAATGAGAACCAATGATGGTGAGAGAAAAGTCTGGAATATCACTTTCAGAAGAGAACCATTGCAACGGATGGTGACGGTAAAGGGTGGAATCTTGAGGATGAAAGAGAAGCTCTGTGTTGGTTGAGAAAAATCAGTGAAATCTGATATAAGGACATGTTTGATGAAGTTTCTATGGGACTGGGGTGATGTAGCCACAGAGTGGATTGCATGGTAAAAATATTGTGGTTCAAAGTATCTGTCCATATATCAACACAACTTGGTCAAATAATATTCCACTTAGTACTTGCGTGACTTAGTCAAGTCATGCAAGATATCTCTGAGTTAACTTGAGTTGTCCGAGTCATCATTAATCAATTAATTGATGCAATGAGGCCATCCTATTCTCGAATCAACGGTCCATACTGCGAGTTCAACAATATTTAGAATGCATTTACCAGCAGCTTGTTTTAAACTCTTTGCTATCTTTCTGGGGTTTATCTCCTTGTTAAAATATGAAATCAAAGAAAATATTATGTGATTTTTTATTGACAAACGAAAGTGACATAGACTCTGTAGATTATAAAATATCCACGGCATTTAGATTGACAAGCTAAAGTAACTTCTTGCCCTCGTCTATTTTTTCCACACTACCAACTAGTGATCTGATTAACTCCAGCAGCATTAACTTTTGGGAGGTTTCTAACTGCATTGGACATGACAGATGCATGCACACAACATAATTATCACTGTAGGAAACCCTAACATTGTACCTAACTTTCATTTCAATCTTCAATTGCATAATTTCTATGTACTTTTTTAGGGTACTAGAATTGTCTCAACCATATGTTCATTAGATTCATGTTTACTATGATGAAAATCTGAGATGAATAAAATCATCAATAAACCACGCGTATCAGTTAAATATGCGGGTAAACAAATTCGGACTCATGAATATAGATTGACTTCTCTCGTCCCTTATTGGATCCTAAGCCAACACTTATGGGTTGCATTTTTTTTTTTTTAATGTTATATGTGATAGTGGAGTACCTGTCTTCTTATATTATTCTATTTACCGTGTTTGGATTATTTCCTCAAACCCATATACCTGTCTCAACATGTTGGACTGCATTCACACCCAAACATATATGTTAAGTTTTGTAATACCATGCATGGGGTTTTACTTGTGAAGCATGTGAAATTTGTACTACCAGCTGATAACACAAGTTGTTTATCCGTATGCTGTTGTCAATTGATGTGAATTCTTTGGAGAGAATTCTTGTTATAAGCTTATGATTAAATGACTATAGAACCATTTCAGATTCCAGAGAGTTTAGGTTACAACTGTTTGTGTTTTACGAAAAATGTACGGTTACCAATTTAGTACTGTACAAAAAAAAGTGATTGATTGAATCTTTAATTCAACAATATTAAAAAAATTCAGACTCACAGTAAGTATTTTGAGCCGATACTAACCTATCCCTTGGGTAGTAACATAGCTTGTTTGGGTCATAACTTGACATGATTAGACTGTATCTTTTGGTACCACATAACATCCCGTTGTTAACAACTTTGAGGATGCCAAAACATTACAAACTATATAAAGGATTAATAGTATTTTTAGTCCTTAAAATATATGTATTTTTGTTAGTTTAGTTTTCATGTATCAATTTTGTTAATTTCGTCCCTAACATATTCAATTCGTGTCACTTTGATCTATAATTAGACAATTCAGTAAAAAATTTAACGATTCATCTCTACATAAACCAAAATGACACGAATTGAATATTTTAGAAACTAAATTGACAAATTGATACAATGAGGAGTAAACTGATAAAAAATACAAACTTAATAGGCCAAAAATATTATTAACCTTTATGTGAATTTAAGTACATGTGCACAGTTGAATACCTGTAACGCCCTTATGGGTGCAGTATTACAGCCTAGCTTTCTCTATTTTATGATTCTCAAAAGGAGATGTGCAGTTATTGGCTCATGAGTCCTCAATAACTAAGTTACGATCGGAATTGTTTCTAACAAGTTACTACTTTTGACAATATATTGGTGAAATTGTTGTTTACGATAATCCTCCAAGGCTTTAGGGGGAATGTGAAGGAAAATTATATATCATACTTCATTGCTAGTTGAAGTTGAGTGCCATTTTTCACTGCAGACTCATGCCCTAGAACATAAATAAGTATCAATGGACTTTTGGTCTAATGATACTATTTATCTTACTAGTAATACACCATGTGCGTTGCACGTGAATAATTTTTTTATACGAAAATTAATAAAATATATTATGTATATGTATATCTAAATTAAATATAACCTCAAATTTACCAAATTTAATTTTTTCATTACTCATTCTATTATACGATTATGAAAATTTTATATGTTTTCAAAATTCTTTGTTCTAACTATAAAAAAAATTAAAAAAAAAAGAAATAGTTAAAGTTTATTTTTTTTAAAATTTGGTGATGGATATTGATTTTTTAGTGATGTTTGAGAAATTAAATTTTTTACAATTCATTTGATTAGGATTCCACTTATAATTTCTTGAATAAAATAAAAGTAATTATCAATATACTAATCACATTGGAATCTTACTCTAATTAATAATTAGTTAGACGAATTATGATAAGATTTAATAATCTATAATATATATTATCAAGTACATTAAAATTTAAAAAAATTCAACTTTTACTAAAAAATATACAACAATATCTATTTTTACATAAAATCTTAGTACAACTTAAAAAGATTATTGTGACCAAAAAATTATATTGATGTAACATAAATTAATTTTAAAAAAATATATTAGAAATAAAAGAGTTAAACTTTTCGATGAAATAAAAAATATGCATATGTAAGTATAATGTTATCTTTACATATGAGATGAATAATATTACATTAATGTAATTTTTGAAAGTTTTTTGAGCACTTTATTAAAATATAATGAATATATATATATATAATATATATATATATATATATATATATATTAAGGATAATATAGTCAATCAATTTTTTTTATAGAAAGTGATATTTATAAATAAAGAATAAATAATTAAAAGATATGATATAGATAATTTGAAGATTTAAAGATATAAGGATATGATTATAATTTAGATATTTAATTGTAAAAGGATAGAGTGGTATTTGTAATCTTTTATTAGGATAAAATAGAGATTCAAAAAAAAAATTCAAGGTACTTTTATTATTAGTATAGATTAGAAATGAAAAAATTAAACTTTTTGATGAAATATAAAATATGCATATGTAGGTATAATATTATCTTTTCATATGAGATGAATAATATTACACTAATGTAGTTTTTGAAAGTTTTTTGAACACTTTATTAAAAATATAATGATATATATATTAAGGATAATATAGTCAATCAAATATTTGTATAGAAAGTGATATTTATAAATAAAGAATAAATAATTAAAAGATATGATATAGATAATTTGAAGATTTAAAGATATAAGAATATGATGGTAATTTAAATATTTAATTGTGAAAGGATAAAGTGGTATTTGTAATCTTTTATAAGGATAAAATAGAGATTCAAAAATTTTTCATCTCAATGTACTTTTATTAATAGTTTAGATAAAGATTTTATCTTCTTAAAATTAAAGGTTCACGTCCTACTCCCCTTTTTGTCACCCAAAAAAAAAACAGAAATAGAAATGACTGGATAACATACAATTTCACACAGGCACGCACAAAATGAGCACACATGATATAAATAAATGAAAGAATGACAAATTAACATGCAATTTCACGATCATGCTTGCACACTCTCACAAATACAGCCACACACATATGCACACTCCTATGTATATACATTGGGCTTGGACGCAAAGCAATCAATTTAATGAATCAATCCCAGAATGTTGATTGGACATTTACGAAAGTTGGAACCTCTTAAATTGCCCGCCCTTCTGCAGATTTGTGCAATATATTTTAGTGATATGGGTTCAAAGTTGTCGCTGCTTTCAAAGGCCTGCAATTAACAAGGTATCTTTGAACGGCTTTAAAAAGGAAAAGCAAAAGGAGGCTGGCATTGGTATATATGCTTTGCTTTGCTCTTTCTTTCTTTCTTGTGTCCCTCTAAGATTCTACACTTCCCATCCTTCTAAAAGAGTATGAACAGCAAATCTCTTAGACAGCTCAATCAGCAAGCTTAATCACTAAGTCGTAACAAAAACTCATGGCCACAGCAATACACGAAACACACTCGCTTTTATTAATTGAACAAAAATTTAAGTACTGTTTGATAATGTTTTTTTTTTAAATATTTATTTTGTTTTTCAGCAATACACCAAACTTTTTCTCATTATAATAGCATTAATATGGTTGTATATAAATATTTTATTTATATTTTAAGATGCATGTGGATTACTTTGATGAAGTAGTAGTCAAATATGTTTTTGCTTTTTGAATAAATTATTTTTTGCCTATAAATTACTTATAAAATGTTATCTACATATGTTCATAAATGAAATGCTATGATCGTTCAAAAAAATATGTCCTGAAAAAAATAATGTTATGGTCATTCGGATTCATTCTACTAGACACATTTGAGTTTAATGGTATAATCAGCAAGCCTGAGTTGTCTATGGGGAGAGATTAGAGTTCAGTGCATGTGAACATAAACTCCATGGGTCACTGAAAAAGTAGGAAGATTCTGAAGTCCAAAGCTTTAACTCTTGTGGGGACATTGGGGTGGCACTAATAAGCACTGTTTGACCGTTGAATCAAATGGTCTATTTCCCCAATTCTATCCGTAAGTAAGTGATTTAAAAGTTATACCCT